TGGAGCTGAGAGCAGAGCTGAGGTCCCAAAGCAGGGCAGTACCAGTGGACAAGGAATTTCACTGAAATCTCTGTCATTCACTCATTCCTTATAATAAAAGACTCATCCTGGATTGAAAGACATGTCAGATATTTAAAGCATTCCAAGAAACTTTTCAAAAGCTCTCTACAGTTATCAAATAAGAGTATAACGTATAATTGTATTTTTATCATTTTTCCACAAATTCAGGGTGAACTTGAAAAGCTGACATTCCTAAGATCTCTGTCTTCTCTCAGCCGAGCTTTACCTTATAATGAAACCACAGAATCATTCATTCGCAGCCACATCACAGATATTGTGCATACCTTACATGTAAGTATTATGACCTTACCACAAATGATTGGGATCACACAAATTCAATGACGTGGCCAAAACATCTTTTAGTGGCTTCCCCTATGTTATCAATCCACTTGAACTCTTCTTGTATCAGTATCTCTACATGGAGGAGAAATACTCACGGCTACCCCACACAGGTAATCACCCTTGAAAACAAATTATGAGAAGAATAGAAAGGACAGGAACAGCATTTGATTTTCTCAGCAAGGCCAATGCTACATTCTATGAATCAAGCAGTAGTTCCCAGACAGTCACCATAATTGAATGCCTGGGTTCAGGTGACAGTCCTGTCTCTTTATAGCTGTGTAACTGTAAGAAATTACTTCACTTCTCAATGCCTCAGTTTCCTCACCTATAAAATAAGAATAGCTATATTGGCCAGGCGCGGTGGTTCATGCCTGTAATCCCAGCACTTTGGGAGGCCAAGACGGGCAGATCACCTGAGGTTCAGAGTTCAAGACCAGCCTGACCAACATGGAGAAACCCCATCTCTACTAAAAATACAAAATTAGCTGGGCATGGTGGCGCATACCTGTAACCCCAGCTACATACTCAGGAAGCTGAGGCAGGAGAATCACTTGAACCCGGGAGGTGGAGGTTGCGGTGAGCCAAGATCACACCACTGCACTCCAGCCTGGGCAACAAGAGCAAAACTCCATCTCAAGGAAAAAAAAATAGCTATATCTACTTCACAGAGCTATTGTGACCATTAAATAAAAATAAATATAAGCCATGTACCATGATACCTAACGCACGTGATGCATTTGAGAAACGTGACTCTATTATTGTTACTGCATTTTGTTTTATTTGTACTTACTCCAGCCATGCTCTGCCACCAGCTGATCCATTCATTCCCTCATTAATTGCCTGACAGTTCCAGGAACTGTCCTGGGAATTTGGGCTACAAAGACAAAGAAGACAAAATCCCTATTTATGCAGCCAAGCAAATATAATGAAATGTCTCAGGGACTGTTACAAGTTTAAATGGACATATGGAGGGCACAGAGGAGTAAGTGGTCAGTTGCATGTCAAAGGACCCAGAAGGGCTTTGCAAACGAGCAGATGCACTCAGGCAAGCACCTGGCGGCGCTTTAGTTTTCTCATCTGTGAAATGTCTCCTTTAGTTTCTCTAAAGCTTTAAAATTCTGATGTTGGGATTTCTTACATGCTCCAGGAATATGAGTTGTTCTTTCTCATATCACAGATCTATAAGGCTGATTAGACTGATGGCTTTTGAAATTCAAGGCTAACCAGCTCACAGTTTAAGTAATGGACAGCTGCTAGGATCTTCTATATCTAAGTACACTGTGGTGCTTCAATAAAAGTTGCGCATTTCCTGGAAACCATAATCCTTGCCCTTGAAGCGTTTACAGTCCATCTGTAAGTGTCCTTACCTCAAAAAGTAAATAGGTTGAGAACTGTTCCAAATAATACATTAAGAAGAACAGGATGATGTAATACGGGTTTAAGAACAAATGTAGGAGCTGGGCACAGCAGCTCACGCTTGTAATTGCACCAATCTGGGAGGCCAAGGTGGGCAGACCACTTGAGGTCAGGAGTTTGAGACCAGCCTGGCTAACATGGTGAAACCCTGTCTCTACTAAAAATACAAAAATTAGCTGGGCTTGGTGGCAGGCACCTGTAATCTCAGCTTCTCCTGAGAGTGGGCAGGAGAATTGCTTGAATGCTGGAGGCGGAGGTTGCAGTGAGCCGAGATTACACCACTGCACTCTGGCCTGGGCAACAGAGCAAGACTCTGTCAAAAAAAAAAAAGAGACCAGTTTAGGCAATGTGGTAAAACTCAATCTCTGAAAAAAAAATACAAAAATTAGCCAGGTATGGTGGTGCATGCCTGTAATCCCAGCTGCTAGGGAGGCTGAGGTGGGGGGATCAGCTGAGTCCAGGAGACAGAGGTTACAGTGAGCCGAGATCATGCCACTTCACTCCGGCCTGGGTGACACAGTGACACCCCATCTCAAAAAAAAAAAAAAAGAACAAATGCAGCTTTCTGCTTGGCTGTCCTCCTTGGGAAAAGGGACGGGATGTAGGCAACTGTACGATCCTAGGACCCAGCCAGAGTGGCATTTTTTTCACTAGACTTGGCAGCAATGGGTTGCCACATGGTTCAACCAGCCAGCTCGTAAAATCCACAAGTGCAAGTCTCAACAACAAAAATACACCGAATTGCACACTGAATGTGCATTTGAATCTGTTCACCCAGTAATGAAATGCCTGCATCAGATTGACGTCAAAGTATAGGCTGGCAAGGGATTCCACCTAGAAAAGTTAAAGGTAGCTAGTCTCCATGAGAAAACTGCATGCATTACTGCAGCATTGTCTAAGTCTACAAAGTTCCCGCAAGCCCACACATGGGGCTGAAAAAGCACAACTCCCAGCAACCAAGGGGAGAGGTGCCCAAGAAGAGAAGCAGTTCTGCTGAGGATCTGACAATGAGGAAAAAGCCGGGGTCATCATAGAGAAAGAAAACTTTAAGGCGTTTAGCAGTGCTCCTGACCCAAACCAGTGCGTGGCTCCAAATAGTCAAATAAAAAAAGCCAAGGAAGCCCACAACAGAAAGTGGAAGGAAGAGGAAAAAATTGGTATGGCACTTAACCAAACATTTCTTTTTTTTTTGAAACAGAGTCTCATTCTGTCACCCAGGCTGGAGTGCAGTGGCACAATCTCAGGTCACTGCAACCTCTGCCTCCCAGGTTCAAGCAATTCTCCTGCCTCAGCCTCCCAAGTAGCTGGGATTGCAGGCACCTGCCACCACGCCCAGCTAATTTTGTGTGTTTTTAGTAAAGACAGGGCTTCACTATGTTGCCCAGGCTGGTCTTGAACTCCTGATCTCAGGTGATCCATCCGCCTCGGCCTCCCAAAGTGCTGAGATTACAGGCATGAGTTTACCAAAAATTTCTAAATAAGCGCATGAAAAGATACTGAATATTGTGATCAGGGAAAAGCAAACTAAAATGACAGTAAGCTTCAACTATACACCTACTAAAATGGCTAAAATAAAAAAGAAAAGCAATACACTGTTGAGAACTTTAATGAAAAAGAAAAGAGGCTGGGTATGATAGCACCTGCCTGTAGTCCCAGCCACTCTGGAGGCTGAGGCGGGAGGAACACTTGAGCCCAGGAGTTGCAGGCTATAGTGAGCTATGATGGTGCTTATGAATACCTACTACACTGCTGCCTCAGGAACATAGTGAGACCCCCATCTTGAAAGAAAGAGAGAGGTGGGGGAGAGAGAGGGAGGGAGAGAGAGAGAGAGAGAGAGAGAG